CTATGAATCAAGTCCAGTTGTGGACAAGGACTGAGTCATCAAAGAAACAGGAGCAATCATATGCAGCTCTCTGATAATTCAAGGTTTGGAGCCACAGTGGGGTTCTTTAGTTCCCTAACTCATTAGGGACAAACTATGGGAATTTTCTTTAAAGAGTTACTAATTAAGAGTCACTAATGAAGATTCCAATGAAACAGTAGCTCCCTTTGCTACTGAGAAAGTTCCTTCAAGTTTCCCTAGCCTACAGTTTTTATAATCAGAGAAAGCATTATAATGGGAGGACTGACAATTTCACCGAACCAATACAATTGCTAAGCAGAAAACTAAAAATATATTTACATAAGGAAAATACTTGCATTCGGGCTCCAGAAAAGGAAAAAAATAAGTCATTCAATTGGATTATTTCAATTGAAAGTTAAGGGTTTTGACTGAATTCTATAGGAAAAAAAAAAAGCCTTGTTTTTCCACTTGCTTTAGTCAGTGGGGACTTGACTTCTCACGTTCTAGTGTATAAATAAGCACAACTCAGCTCTCCTTCAACCCCACCATTCACAGTTAGCCTCTGGTCAAGTATATTTGAGGTTTCCTTTCAAAGTCTTCATGTGCCTGTGTGTGCCCATCTGCAGACTACAGAACCCAGTTCCCTGGGAAAAGAAGCCTGATGTGGAATTACATTGCTACCAGTCACACAGCAGGGATCAACTTAGGCCTTGGTTTCCTGAATCTGTTAAATGACCACAGAAAAATTACTCATCAGCCTCGGGAGTCTCTCATGCAAGGAGACTCTGAATGGTAGAGTTTCATTGTAAACAGGGACTGACCAATTACCCAGGCATATCATTCCCTGGAATCCAGTGTGTGAGGTCCTAGCACAATGAGAAAAGATTCTTTAATTCCGAGGTATACATTTGTTCTTTGAACGTGGTTGTAGGAGACACTAAACTCAGTCCTTTAATGGTTAGGACAGAATGAGATGTAGACAAGATACCAGTTGTGCTGTTTTCCCTAACAGCGAGAGTCTCTATGTCCAACTAGATGACACAGGTCCACATTGCAAGTAGTGCCAGGTAGGGCTCTTCCTTAGCCATTCCAGGCCATACTTTCTTCATCAATGGGATAAAGGATTGGGCAGGCTGGCTTCAAGGAAGGAAGGGTCCCTTCCTTCTCTAAAGGTTTGTGATCCTCTAAATGAGGAGAAAAGGGACGTGAAGGTTCACAAGTTGGCATTCAAACAGCAACAAGTAGACATTTGTTCGGCTGACTCTTTAGATTGATCAGAGCTGTGAATTACTGTGGCAAAGAATGATAAGGGTTTATATCCAGAACTGGAACATAATCAAAATGAAAACCATTCCTCTCAGTCTCTGTCCCCAAGTGCCACACCTGCACCATTATCCACGGTGATTCACCGGGCAGCTGCTGTGGGTAGGTGCACTAACCCAGGCATAATAAAAGCATCTGGAAAAAAATCATTTGTTGAAGACTTGCTATGTGACCGGCATTATGATATGTGCTTTATGTAATTTCTCACAGCAACCAGAGAGGTGGGAATTATTATCTCCATCTTATAGGTGAGGAAACAGAGACTGCCAGACCTGAGCAAGTCACTTAACCATTTTGAGTCCATTTCCCTGAGTATAAAATAAGAAGATGTGTCTAACTGACATTGAAGACCTTATTACTCTGATTCGAAACCAGCTTAGAGTTGGTCACCTGGACCTTGGCTCATGATTATCATCCAAACTCAGATGGCCAGAGAATAAGATGGACATCTCATCCATCTCAAGCATCATTTACGTGCTCACAGAAACCCAAAACCAAATTTACTAGACTCAGTACTTTCTTGAGGAGCTCTCACAATGTATACTCTAAACAAGTTGGTTGTTAAAACACATCATTTTCCTATGGAGACATCGGGGACTGCCTCAGTCAAACAGCCAAGGAAACAAGAAAGTATCATAGAGCAAAATCACCACAGGCCCCACTTCCAAAAGTCAGGGATGGGTTCCAGGATAAAGACACAGGTATTTCCTCTCCATTAACATGGATAAGCTGGAGCTGCTAGTTCCCAGCTAGACAGAATGAAAGTTCCCAGCGGGCTGGGCTAAGACCGAAACTTGGACATTCATTATGATTAGAAGGGAGTCACCCCACGGCACTTAAGGATGTACCATCACCCCATCACCAACCATGTGTTTATAAAGCACCTACTATGTACAGGGCACAACAGCTAACCTGGGTCATTTGCTGAAGACACCAAGTTCTTTTCCTAACAGTCAGACTTGTAAAAGTAAATATAGCTTAAATGACCTCAGCCAGGATCCAAGGGACCATACAGAGTGTCTGTAGAAAGAAAGTATGTATAAGACTCTTCCAGGCAGGTGGGGTGCACAGTAGTATTAATTTGCTAAGGCCATCACAACAAAATGCTATAGACTGGATGGTTCAAACAACAGAAATTTATTTTCTCACGGTTCTGGAGGCTGAAAGTCCAAGACCAAGGTGTGATAGTACCGGCTTCTCCTGAGGCCTCTCTCCTTGGCTTGCAGACGACACCTTCTTGCTATGTCCTCTCACGGCCTTTTCTCTCTGCACACATTCGCCTGATGTCTCTTCCTCTTCTGATAAAAACACCACTCATATTGGAGTAGGGTCCCACCCTAATGACCTAATTTAACTTAATTACCTCTTTAAAGGCCCTATCTCTGGATACAGTCGCATCCCAGGACACTGGGGGTTAGGGTTTAACACATGAATTTGGGGGCAGGGAGGCGGCGCACACGGTCCATAACACCAGTGTTTGCCCTTCCCAAAGTTACAGGCATAGACAGCACCAGCGTGTTCGAAATTTCCTGTTTTACAAAGTTCTCTCCCCACCTCTTGCCCCAATTTAGCACTTTCACAGAGTAAGTCACAGGGATGGTTGGCTGGATCTACTTTACTTTATTAGTACCATACACATTTGTTAGACTACATAGACTTTTAAGGCTGGGAATTAAAAAGCAACTAGTTGGCTTCAGGCCTAGTCTGGGCAGCTTTTAGCAAACTACCCACACTTGCCCCTATTACCAAATCTTCAGAGTCAGAGAGGAGTTATGTAGCAGGTAGTGGATCAGGGAAAGGTGAAAAGAAAAGAGGAAAGAGGAATGTACATCTACACCCAGAAATGCCTCGTCATGGGTCTGTGTCCATTCATCGTAAGACATTTCCTGTGTTACAACACATCGGATTAACAAGCCTCGACACAGGCAAGATGGAGGAGAAACTGTTCTGCAACGAAATCCTGGTTTCCTTCCTACACTCAACTTCATTTTCTTTGGCAGAACACCACACACAGATCCATGGGCTCCGGCTGACATTTCAAGCACTCCAGATCCAGATGTGTTTATATATTTGTTCAACCAGTTTTAAAAAAAACCCTCAAATTTAAACAGTCATTTCCTAAACCACCAGCTGTCTCCTTGATGAATTTTTTTTTTTAGTTGTAGTTACAAGCAACCCTCTTCAACCCATGTATTCGTTCAATAAATATTTACTGAGTGCCTTCCATGTACCAGGTTTGGGGATACAATGGTGACAGCCATAAGCTTGGGAGGGATACAGACAAGTTCTAGTAAACGGTACCTACTTCACCTCTCTGTACCAGATGCAGTGCTGGTTGCCTTAAATACATGGGAAGGTGCTATTATCTCCACTGTACAATGAAGAAGCTGAGGCTCAAAGAAGTTCCAAAGCCAGGGTCATGCTGGACCTTGGAAGTGTCAGTGGATGTGTAGAGCCCAGAAGCCAAGTCTTCTGACCTCCTGACTTGCTGAGCAGTGCCCTTTCTACTATCAGGGGATTTTAACCAGAGGGCCATGAACTTCTGTGGAAAAAAATTTATATCTATTTTCACTAATATTTAACATTTACATCTTTTATTTCATTAATATTTAATTGAAATTTAACATTTTCTCCAATTATGTACGTAGGCAACAAACCACAGGAGTATTAGCAGTACCTAAGACTTCATCACCAATAGAAATCACAGTTATTTTCTTATTATACAGGTGTTGCCTATGTCTTGAAATATTGTTTATGCTCTTTACTACTTCAAAATTATGGTAGTTATTAGGTCCACTGCTAGATCTCATTATTTAATAAAGCATTAGTTTAAAAAAAAGGCACATATATAACTATATCATAAATTCTTTTAATATTTTGACAAGTGTTTTGCAATTAGTTTCCTTTATAATACTCTGTCTTTATTTTATACCTTTAAAAGTATTGCTCTGAGAAAGCGGTTCTTAGTCTTTCCAGGGCTGCCAAAGGGGTACATGGCACAAAAATGGGTCAGATCCCAGAGGGAGCCCAGGCAAATTCAGAGGCTTTGTCTCTGAGCAAAAAGCTAGGTTGGGGTTTTAATGACTAAAATACAGATGAAGAGGAAAGGAAAGGAGCCCTGATTCCACCAGAGGACCCTTTCCACCAGTTCCGGTTCGGCACATGCCCTAAATGCTCTCCCCTACAGGTTCCAGCCGCAGGTGACCCGTGGAGGGCCCCTCTGTCCCTTGCGCAGTGTCGGTGGATAAATGTGTCACCCTATGGGCAGACGGGCGATGTCAGTCTCTGACCCCCGAAGGCTGAGCACCCACTCCCGCTCCGGGACCGTGGTGAGTGACAGTCAACAAGTGGAAAGCGCCAGAAATCTCCACACACCAAATCCACAGATATTTCGGTTTTTAACCGCCCTTCGCAGATCGCCCTCTCAGCTCCACGAAGCTCCGATACTCGGAGAAGGAAGCAAAAGTCCCAAGACCGGGTCACAGACAAGGGCGGCAAAAGCTGCAGGTGCCCGGGGGTTGGGGAAAGAAAGTCTGGGGCGCCGCGCAATGCGTCTGCGGAGTCCCAGCTGCGGAGGCAGAGCTGGGCCAACAGCGAGCCTCACTGGTGATCTCCGTCCCCGCCCTGTCCCCCTCCCCTGGCCGAGGGCCAGAGATCGGCTCCCGGATGCCTCTTACCCAGGGGTGAGCGGAGCCTTCCGCCACTGCGTTGGCGCAGCAAAAACGGCCGATCCCTTCTGGGGCTCAAGGCCTCTGCTAGGGACCCGCCCGCCCTCCGCGCCCTCCAGGCAGTGGCTGGAGGCGGGGAGAGCGAGGCTCCCCCCAGGAAAGGTCGGGAAGTTCTCGCCGCTGCCCCGCCCGGCGCCGCTGCCCAGGCACCATAACCAGTGCAGACTGCATACCCGGTGCACCGGGGCTTTGCGTGCTCGCGGAGGACAGAGCCAGGAACTGGGGTCCAGCCGGCCCAGAGAGCTGCCCGCCGGGCGGGTGAGCGAGCAGGGCAGATTAACCCCTAACCCCAGTGGGCCCTGGAGCGTGGCCCCGCGCGCTCGTGTGCACAGAGGACACGGAGGCCACCTGACGGACCCGCCCCTGGGTGCCAACAGCTTTGCATAATCTGGACGGGCAAAGGTGGAGGTGGGGCGCTGTGGAGAGAGGCTCTGGCAGTTTGTGCTGGGTCCGCCAGGGTGCCCTGGGCTTCTCACCAGGTTCCTACGATTTCCCGGAAAGACAGCTATTCCCACGCTCATTTCACAGATGAGGCCACCGAGGCTCAGAGCAGCTCAGTGACTTGCTTTGGTGAGCGCTGGAGCGCTACCCTCAAAGCGCGCAGGCTGAGGTCAGCTGGCTTTCAGTCACTGGCCTCGACACAGTGTCCCATTCCATTTTCATGACCGGACATTTTCAATTGACTGTTCTTTCTACGTGGGTGCAAAGTGTAGATCAGTGGTTCTCCACCATATCAGATAAAGCAGCCCCTTTTTACAATAAGTACAGGGTGTTCCAAAAGTCTTACTGCAATTTCAAGCTTTAATAACCTCAGAAGTGCAAGTGCTGCAAGCTTTCCAAAAAAAAAAAAAAAATCCTTTGAAAGTTTATTTACATTTCTTTTACACTTTTATTTGGCTTTGTGAATTTTTAGTAATTACTTTTAATTGTTTCAATCAACACTTTCTATCTTCAGAGGGGCCGATTGCATCTATGATAAAATCACCATGAACAAACACCATAGCTACAAATGCAAATTGTAGACCCTTACTGGCAACTTGATTCCACCTGCAGCATTATTTCTGTGACATGATTTTCTGAAATGGTGAATAATTCTGAAGCTCTGAAAAAAATAAAGTATAATCTTCTCAATTATTTCCAATAGATCTGTTCCTGGAAATTTTGGTACATTAAATCCATGCAAAAATGCTTGATATTTATAATTATCTGAGCCATTATAGAACCTAATTTATTTTACAAAAAAATGGTTTTTTGCATACTTGAATGTTGGAGCAAGGGGTGGGACATCAGAAGTCGTGCAGGTCTCTGGACGGTTTATTGTTGTACAGCACTGTTCACATAGCACAGGAGGTTGGCATCCCTGGTTCCCACTCCCTAAATGCCAATAGATTGTGTCCCAAAATTTTGATAAATAAAATTGTCCCCGCTTTATTTCCAAAATTCCTCACCTGACCTCCAAGGCCCACTACACTCCCCATCCCAGTTAAGAAGCCCTGGTTTACATGGGAAGGGTGCGGACAAGAAGGAATCACAGGAAATGTGCCGGCACTTGCTGGGTGGTTTTAGGTTGGTGGCTATGGAATCAGATTGAGAGTTAAGAAATATGTCCTAAGCAAATCCCACATCCTGAGGGCTTCACGTATATTTATTCTATGATCTCACCCAAATCCCTCCTTCCACTGCAAAAGAGAACACTTCAAAGGGGAGCAGAGGTTATAACTTGCCCATCAGACAAGAAGAAGGGAACTGAGAGCTTACTCACTGACTTATGCAGTCATTCTTTCATAGAAGAGATATTCACTGAGTCCTTCCCCGGTACATGTCAAGCAAGCCCCACACCTGCTGTCTCAGCATACACTGTTAAAAATTCAGGCTCGATTCCTACCCGTGTGACGTTTGCAGAGTAGTGGAAGTGCACTGGGGGAGATGGGAAACTAGGAGAAGCATCATTAAAGTGTGAGAAGAGGAAGCGATAGGAAGGGCTGGCACTAAGAGGAACACACCCCAATTCAAGCACATCCACAAGAAGGAAAAGCAAACTGACAAGGCTCTGGGAAGACACTGAGGCACATGAGCAGGAATGGGTGGGAACAGAGAATGGAACAGAGAAAGGGATCCTTAATAGCACAAGAAAGGGAAGGGACAGGAGAAAGAGCAGGGCAAAGAAGCTGATCCTATTGCCATATAGCTTTAAATAGTGCTGTCTTCTCTGCCCATTCGGCAAGCCCCACTCTCATCCCTTCCCTGCCGCAAATGCTTCCCTATGTGAGTCAGTAGCTAGAGAAACAGCTCACACACACATACACACACACACACACACACACACACACACACACACACACACACACACACACTCCACCTGACGAAATCTCCCTAGCTGGGACAGTAACCCAATAACACAGCTTCTGCTGAGCTGCAGCGAGACTTGTGCGAGAGCTGGTGATGAGTTCCTGCTATGCCCCAAGAACACATGGTGTTCAGCCTGCCAGACCACCAGGCAGTCTCAGAGCTGGAAGGAGGTGGGTAGACACGACAATTATGTTTTATGCCTGGTTTTTAAAAGGAAGCCCCAACGCCTTCCAAATGTGCTGTTTTCCTCACAGCCAACCTGCTTATCAAATAATAACTAAAATTGCTATCAGGCTACAGGGTAGCTCAAGTTTCCTCATATGTGTCATTGAAGATCAAGTTTTTTTTTAGACAAGAAGCAGTAATGTATGTGGAAGTGCTTCACAAACTACAAAGCTTTCTATCTCAATCAGATAGATTGGTTGCTGGTTGCAAGCAAGAAGCCAGCTCTGGATACCTTAAGTAGAAAGGGGATATTAAAATGCTCTCAGGGGTTCGTAGGGGTTTGTAGAACCATCAAAATGCTGGAGTAATGATGGCAGGAGACATGAATAGGAATCAGGGTGGCTCTGGAGAATGAAAAAGCAGTTAAGTGTCACACCGTCTTTTAGCAGGAACAGGCTGGCTGCCCGCAAATACTCCCATATCATCACAAATTACTCTAGAGTGAGTGACACGATATAAAGAGAATCAGAATTCAATTTTCAGTGGAAGTGTCTAATTGACCAACTGTATGTCAAAGCAGGGAGAGACATACTTGGCCCTTCTGACCTCCACCAGAACTATTATGATGAGTGTCCCCCAAAATGAGGAAGGGGTTGAATACCAGGCAGAAGCGGGGGAGTGGAAGATGTCTACTAGAGGCTCCATAAAGTCTTATCATATGTTGTTTTCTGCATATATAAGAAAGGTAGTATGATAGTGAAAAATCCTCAGTCCTAGAGCCACAAAGAGTTCTGTTAAATACGTGTATATTAGCGTGCTGTAGAACAGAGTGTGGTTCGGGCAGCTTAGACTTTCCATCCAGAGGGGTCTCCTAGGATGTAGGAAAAGTGCTGGATCTGGAATCAAGTCTTTCTCAGAAATTTAATCTCAAATTCTCTTTTGGGCAATTCTTTTTACTCAAATTTCCTCATCTATAAAATAGAGATAAAATCTGTCCTCCTACCACAAGAGTATGCTAGAAGAATAAACACTGTGCCTCTTGAGCCATAAATACCTCAGAGTATGTGAGACTATGAAGACCAAAAGTTATGTGTTTGCACATCACTACTCTCAAAGAGAATGTACCAGTATGCCTCAGTTAACTGCATCTATAAAATGAGTATTCTGAAAAGTATTTCCTTCATAGGATCCTTATGAAAATGAAATGATTTAATATATAAAAAGTGATTGCTACTATAGCTGGCATAGAATAAGTGTTCAGTTAACAGTAGGTGCTAATATTATAGTTATTGTAGTTATCATGTTATTGCTATGGTTTAAATGTTCGTCTCCTCCAAAACTCATGTTGACAATTTATTGCCATTGTAACAATATTAACATGTGGGACTTTTGGGAGGTGATTAGGCCACGAGGGCTCCACACTCATGGGTGGGATTGGTGCCATTACAAAAGAATGAGTTCCTCCGCCTCTTGCTCTGTCTCACATTCCATCATGTGATAATACAGCAAGAAAGCCCTTGTCAGATGCCAGCACCTTGATATTGGACTTCCCAACTTCCCGAACTGTGAGCCAATAAATTTCTTTTCATTATAAATTGCCCAGTCTCAGATATTCTGTTACAGCAGCACAAAATGGACTAAGACAGCTTTTGTTGTTGTTATCAAATGTTCGGGCATTATACTCAATGTTGAAAGAATGAAAACTTTCTAATATCAGAACCAAGGCAAGGATGCTCACTTTCACTTGTTCTATTCAACATAATACTGGAAGTTCTAGCCAGAGCAATTAGGCAAGACAAAGAAACAAGAACATCAAAATCAGAAAGAAGTAAAATGATCTCTGTTTGCAGATTATATAATGTTATATGTAGAAAATCATAAAGATTCCACACCAAAAAAAAAAAAACCTGTTAGAACTAATAAATGAATTCAGCAATGTAGCAGGATACAAAGTCAACTCAAAAACTCACT